GAGAGAGAGAGAGAGAGAGAGAGAGAGAGAGAGAGAGAGATGGCAGACTGCGGCAAAACAGTCCGTGAAGTGCAAGAAACCCGCAAAACATGAGATCTCACATGTTCAAAAAGCATAGCGAGTTTTCATAGCAAAACTGCAAAATTGAGTATCATGCGGAATCCCCCAACCGGTTTCACCCGCCCGCACGGAATCGTCAGGAGGGTGACTCTAAGTAGAGTCTTTGTGCTCTCAAAAGGGAAGACTCCTGCCTTGTCTTCCGCTATATGTCTCTGTATCTTGTCAAAAAACATCCGGCCATCTCAGGCCCCTGTCCAAGAAAAGCACCACCTCGTCGTCAAGAACTAAAAACAAACAGTCCTGAACCCGCCGGTCAAGACTCGTACCAGCGTCTACAATTCCGGTTATCCTCCATCGTGGTACGCCCGTACCCTGTATCTGACTATGTCCCAATTCAGTGGAAAATAGGAAATTCGAAAACTTCAAAATTTCGAAATTCCAAAAGTTGTTCCCGTCCGCCTTTCGGGAACCCAGCGCCTACTTGCGTCAACCCAACAGTCTCCGCCTGCTATCCTTCGGATACCAGTACGAGGTCCGGCTGAATCTCCGAACGAAAATACCGTAAATAAATAAATAAAAATAGATAAACAGCAAAACCCAACTAACTAAACTTCCAAATGTTCCCAGGAATCGAACCAGAACCGGGCTCACACTTCCCCTGGTGGTAGGTGCCTATCCAAACACCGGTGCTAGCTACCCGGCTAGCGATCGTCGTCCTTCTGTTCAAAATTTACCTTTCCTCCGTCGCTTCATCCATCCTGCAGTGCACGTTATAGCTGCTAATAGGCACTGCAGTGCTCGGTTTGGCACAACCTTGGCCAACTCGGCCAAGGGTCCGAGAGAGACCTCCGGGGGGTATCCCCGGAGGTCGGCTTCGGAAATGGTGTATCCAATTGCCCCAATGACCAGTTCCTTGTTCGTGGTGTGATTCCAGAGTCTCTTCAGAATGGTGGTTAACACAACCTTCTTCACGCTTTTGGCTATATACGAGCCAAAATCCTGCATCGTCTGGAAAGTCAATTTTCCAGTCTCGTGCAAAGATTCGGTGTTCTTAGTGCTTGGTATATAATGGATCTGCAGTGGTTCATTGCAGATCATCATCATTCCTCCTACGCACTGTCAAGTTAACCCACATCCGTCCTTACGAATGATCTCTAGGTTCCGATCGTAGACCTCCTCAAACGCATCAAAGAGGTTATTAGGATAATCCCCATTGTAAGTATTCCCCGGAATCCCAGCTATGATAGTGATATCGTCTATCACCCGCCATCCCCCAATCAGTCTCCTATGAGAGCCGAGTTCCTGGATGAATCGGAGCTCAGGCATCGCGCAGGTAATCGAAGCCAGAATAGGGCTAGTTGACTTCCCCATCGGTATACCGAAGACCTGCTTCACCAGCTTGTCACCACATCTCACCACAGCATGCTGAAGGTCGTATCGAGCTCCTTCCATCACCAATTTCAAACTCATGCCTATATATCCATCCATCTTCCGCTTGATATCGTTGATGATGTACAATTTCCCCCGTTCCCCATCGGTATACCGAAGACCTGCTTCACCAGCTTGTCACCACATCTCACCACAGCATGCCGAAGGTCGTATCGATCTCCTTCCATCACCAATTTCAAACTCATGCCTACATATCCATCCATCTTCCACTTGATATCGTTGATGATGTACAATTTCCCCCGTCGTGATACCCTGATTTGCTTGCAACCATTGTCCTCGTAGATCCTCAGCAGTTGATGAACGGATTGTTCCACTGCTCCATGTGGTATTCTGGAAAACGTCTCTTTGATGTCGTAGCAGCGTCCGACTGCTGTTTCGCATCCTGCCGCTTTGAAGCGTTGTGTCGTCGCTTCCAGCTTCTCTGGTAATTCCGCTATGGAATTGAGATAGAAGGTACAATTTGCTGGTAATCTCTTCAGACATGTATGTAGTGCTCTAGCTATCCTCCATTGTGCCAGTCCCGTTGGGTCGGCTGGCGCTGGTGCAATAGGTCTCCAGCGTGTGAGATCTTTGTGCTTCGGTATAGCATAGGCAGTTCCCAAGCGTCCATCTGGTCTCCAGTTACCAATCTGGGTGAGCCCGCTCCTCTGATAATCTACCCTGCTTCCTCTAAGAATCGTCTCCTCGGTGTCCAGAGTTCCCACAAATTCGTAGTTCGCGTTCCAAGAGAAGGTCTTGCCGAAGCCATGCCTATAAAGCACCGGACATATTACCGCCGTGTCCCCTTGGTTCCTGTCAATCGGCGTAAGTACCAGGCCGTCGAAGTGCCTCCTCCAAGTTCTTACGTCTTCGTCCGTCCAAGCTGCAGTCCCGACAGATAGCTTAGTCAACACCACGCTAGGTTCAACACGTGGTAGTTTCTCGCACTTAAGATGCCGAACCGCTTCGAAGATAGCCTTAGCAATCGTTTGCATCTCACCTACCTTCGCTGGTCTTGTCACATTCTTCGAGTTTCGGACAAAGTCCGGAACCTCCAGATCTGAAAATCTCGTGAGAATGTGGCCATCCATCTTTGAAAGTGCCCTGCCCCCACACGGGCAAGGATGTTCGTCTAAGCTTGCACTATGTTGCACGCTGGCCGCGACCGAGTTCGGCCCAGGCCGCGGCGGGTGGCCTAGGCCGGGACCCCCCCGGCCGCAGCCGGTCCGGCCGAGTTTTTCGGCCTCGGCCTCGACCGATCTGGGGGTCGGTTTCCGAAGCGGGGAGCGGGTTTGAGGTGGGGGGGTGGGGGAGCACCCCCTCACAGTGGCAGAGCGTCAAAAAAATAAAAAACGGGGGGGTCCTGCACATGGCCCTGGGAGGGTGGGCCGCGAAAATTCGTGTGTCCCCCGCGTGCGGGTTCGCCGATGCGGGGTCGCAGGAAAGAGGGTCTGGAACACTAGAAAAAAAAAATAAAAAAAATTGACCCCTGCGGGGGCGGCCCAACGGGGGTTGGATGAGGGCCTGGTTGGGGCGGCCCAACGGGGGTTGGATGAGGGCCTGGTTGGGGCGGCCCGTGCGGCCAGGTCGGGTCGAAGCTGGACGGGCCTGCAGATGGCAGACCCCAGACAGATGAGGGCCTCAGGCAGGCGTCGATTTCATTCGTGAGGGTGATGACAGTTCGTGACATATTTTGAAACAACACATTCATGGCAATCATAGGTTAGACCTTGGTTGGCATACCAAAGTCACAACACATTCACAATCAATCACAGTGCGGCCAACCATAAGTTTCAAACAATGTTAACAGGCAAGTGTGTCATAGACTCATAGTGTGTGTTCACTCATCAGACGGGTGGAAGTTTGTGTAAGAACACATTCATTAGCACATCATCCCTATTTGGCATCCGAAATTAACAACACATTCATAATGGAGGCATCCATGACATGCAGGTGCGTGGCATCGGAGAAGCACATAATTTGCAACAATCACGACAACAAACCAGAAATCACTCACCAAACAACAGCGACTCAGATGCAAGACCAATGTTGGTAGAGGAACACGAACAAGAGCAAATATATGACAAAGCATTTCAATGGAAATGCGTATGTACAAGGCTGAAGCCAAAAACTGGACCTGTCGTCTCTACTGTACAACCGAGTAGCAAAAAAAAAAAATTGGACCCTACTGACAAAGCATTGCAATGGAAATGCGTATGTACAAGGTTGAAGCCAAAAACTGGACCCGTCGTCTCTACTGTACAATTGAGTAGCAAAAAAAAAAAAAAAACCCTAATGTCCACATACTGTCGTCGTCTCCATGGAACAACATCGGCATAAATATGCAACAACCCTGCCGACAAAGTGTGCAGGTTGTACAGCCACACAAAAAACTAATGAAAAAAAAAATTACCACGGATGTCGTCATCTCCCTCTAGAGCGCGCGCGGCCTCTCCCGGAAGACGGGCGGCCATGCAGTCCTCCCCGTCGCCCTCCTCTCCCTCCGGCACCTGTGCCCCGTGCTCCGCTGAGGTATGCCGCCTGTGCTGCAGCGGCTCCCGCGGCCACCTGTGCCCTGTGTCTGCGAGCCGTGGTCTCGATCGTCTCGGACTCTGTGTCTGCGTCCTCGTCCTCCGCCGCCCGTGCAACAATCCCCGTCTCTCTCTCCCTTTGAATCGCGTCCAATGCTGCCTGGCCAGCGGCGACCCCTGCCGCGAGTCGAGCCTCAACCTCCGACAGGTCACACTGTTGTCTCCTCCCGGGATGCATGAACAACCCCTCCTCGCCCGATGTGAACTGCTCTCCCCGCAGCATGTCCGTGGATGTCCCTGCGGCCTCAAGGACCAATGATCTCCTCGTCTCCACTCGTGACAAACCGAGCATGCGGCCTGCCATCTCCAGGCTCGGACGTCCGGACCCACCCTCCGCAGCCTGCGTCTGAACTGGCGTACGTCCCGTGAAGACGCCCCTCCCGACGTCGTAATTCGCCCGCAACCGGTCCCCGACCCGACGAACAGCTGACCATCCGCCACCCACACCACCTCGGACTGTCGGCGGGGAACCGCCACTGTGCGCAACTCCAGGTGCCGCCGTCTGGTCCCCGACGTTAACCCCGACCTCCGAAGTCCGTGCGGGCGGTGGAGGCATCGATCCTGCACTGTCTCTGCCGCCGTCGCTGCGTCTGCCGGACCCCACCTCACCCGCTCTGGACTCCCTCCCTCTCACGCCGATGAGCGACGAACCCGACCAGTAAGGGCTCTCCACCACGAACGACGGCGGTGAATATACCCTCCCAAGGGCCCGCCTCTTGCCGCTCTTGCGGCTCATGTGTGCGAAAGGGTCATCCGTCAATGCTTGCGCCAAAGCGTCGACGTCGAAGAAAGTGTGCGCTGTGTCGACAGGGCGCAAGGGAGGTACTGTGGGGTCCCTCAACACCAAGGCGAGCCTATACGCATCGTCCTCGGGACCGTGGTCGTTGTCATAATCTCCGTCCGGTCCATCGTCTCCCCCGACACCCGCGGTATCCCCATCTCCACCAGGTCCACCCTCTCCTCTGCCACACACGGTGGCACCTTGTCCCTCGTGCCCAAGCATCCCCGTGCAATATGCTCTCCAAGACTCCAACGCGTCCCGTCGGCCTTTGAGACATGTCAGCATCAGGAAAACCGATGCGAACCGTGTCTCAACGGGCTCGACGAGCTGAACGCGAGGGCTCACCTTCCTAAATAGGGCGTGAGCAGCGCCGTGTGATTTAATAAATCGCACAAGCGCCCGAGCGCGGATGATGGTGTCCTTGACCCACCCCACTTGCGTCCCGATATCTGTCAACATCAAGTTGCAGACATGGGTGGAGCAGGGGAGCCAAGTGATCCTCCTAATGTCGTGGTCGGGGTCAGTGGCGAATCTGCGAGCCGCTCCGTATAGTTGCTGGCGGAGTCTGTGCAGAAGCCGATCACGTCTTTTGCAGGAAAGGACAAGATGATGGCCCGCCACCTACGGTACACGATGTCCGCTGTGTCTCGGTCCGACCCGTCACGTGCGACGGTGGCGTAGAGCAGGGCGCCGTTAGCGCCCCCTGCGAGGAAGTTCACGAGTGGCTTGCCGCTACGTGACTTCCTCCCGTCGGAGAGGATGGTGGCACCGCTGTGCCGGAAAGCGACGCGCACCTTGCTCACCATCGTCACCACCTTCACCTTCTGCGAAGGAATACCGGCGCCCGCTGTAACCCTGAACGAGGGAAACCGGAACTGGACACTGCGAGGCACTCTCTCTGCCGTCTGCCGCACCCTCTGGAACTCCGGACCGCGGAAGGCGTTGAATGGCAACCCCTTCACGTAGATCCACTGCAGCCACGCGTCTGTGAATTTGGCCAACTTCTCCTTGGCGTACATTTCGTCAATCGTCGTTTGCCGAGCCCTCTTCTCCCAGCCCGTGTCGCGCACCTTGACGTCAGCTTGCCCCACTGTCCTCTTCTCCCTCCTCGCGCGCTCCAACTCAGGTCGCGGTGCCCTAGGAGTGGGACCCACTCGACCGACGCCTCTCGATGTCATCACCACCTCCTCCCCTGGCAGGTCAGGCTCTCCGACTGCCTCATCTGCCTCGTCTCCCACCCCCCCCTCCCTGGCCCCACCCTCGCGGCCCTCCTCCTCATCGAGGGCGTCCTGAATGTCGTCCCTCTCTTCATCGTCCGTCCGCTGTCGCTGGCCACCCGCGGGCACTCTCGTGTCCCGTATCCCCTCGTCCGCCATCCACCTCTGCACCCGCTAAGCAGTGGACGGCACGAATGTGTAGTCCGTGCCGTTCCAGAGTTCCGCGAGAACTCTCATCCCCCCAGCCTTGCAGTACTTCGACTGCGTGAAATGGCGCGCGGCCTTCGACGACCCCCACTCAAACAGGTGGCCGCATAAGTTGCAATGCAACTTTCGGTCCCCATGCATCTTGGACTAGTCCCCGACGTACTGCCCCGCCGTGACGAAGTTCCAAACCAAGTTCCCCCGCCTCAACTTCACCATCTCCTTCTCGGACAGCGGGTTGAACTGGGCACCCCCAGAACCCCCCGCACCGCTGGTCCCTGCCCCCCCCGTCATCGCCCCCCCCCTCCCCACCCGAATCTAACAAGTCGTCGCGATGATCGTCGATGTCGTCTGACGTTGCCGCACCGTCGATGCAGTCCCTGATGTCCCCGCTCCAACCACTGTCGCGTCCCACCGTTGTTGCCCACGCCTCTGCCCCCTGCGGAACCCGGCCTGGCTGCCTCTCTCAGCGCGGAGAAGCAAGTCGGCCGTGCTCGGCCGTGTTCGACCGCAATCGGCTGTATCCGGCCTCGCTCGGCCGTGGCCGGGCACTAAAATGGCCGCGCACGGCGATGGCGACGGCCGTCGGGCGGGCACTGGCCGACGTCGAGGCGCTGTCCCACCTGGTCGCGCGGCACGCGCCGCTGCCAACTGCGCACCAAGAAGAAGAAGAAGAAGAAGATCTCTCTCTCTCACTCTCTCTCTCTTACTCTCTCAAC